TGTGTTGAAATGTTGATCTGCTGTTTGGTTTGTTAGGAAGGGCTCTTCTATGTTTGAGGTCCCTCATCAAGTTACCAAAAGATGCCTCATTTAGGTCCTCAGACTTTAGCTCTTACAGGATTATAACCTTTAGTCTGACCTCTGGAAAGCTGACAGCATGTTGGGAGAGGAGAGCCACCACTCTCTGTTGCAAATCAAGCATTTGTATCATGTGAGCAAGTGCAGGAATTGAGCTCTGTGTGCCAACAAGAGTTTTGTCTGTAAGCATCAGAAAATAATTTTTTAATCCTGGTATCATAATGTTGATATCACAAGGAAATTGCTACAAAAATAAAACTACAACTCAAAGTAGTTATGTTTGTATGTGATAATTCCTCATGATTAAAAGTCTAATAGTAGAATTAAGTTACATCTGAGTAAAACACAAACTGCTCATTGTATTGCTGTCTCCAGAGGTTTAGAAACAGAATTCTTTATTGACCCAGATGTATCATTTTTATAGTCATTAGAATAATTCACCAAGCTACATAGCAATGATCAGCAAAATAGCAACTACAAAGCCATAATTAGCACCTGGGGGGAGGAAATCTTAATTAACCATAGAAAGTTGCTAACGATGCGGCCTGAGATGAATGATGAGCTAGTGATGGGTTCTGAGATCCTCTGCTATCTTGTGAGAAGATCTTTGTTGAAGAGGGATGCTGTAATTCTCTGTCCTACCCAGTTAACCTCCATCAGCTCCAAGAAGTTGTTCAGTCCCCTTCTATGCTCTGAGGATGAATAGTCTGTGCTGTGGGAATGACGGTGTCTCCATTTTGTTTGTCTTGGTATTGTGCATTAAAGAAGATAAAGATCCCAATGTTCAAGTTAAATCAAGTGTATTTTTCAGTATGAAAACTCCATCTCTGTGCAGTGTAGTGGGTTGAGTGTAGCTGTGTGTGAGATATTGCAGGTTGAGTACGCAGACAGATTTACCTAATCTGATGTGACGGACAACATTTCATTTCGTCAAATGCTTTTGTTTTGTTGAACCAGTTTGTTTTGTAGGTAAGACTGAATAGACCTAGAAGACTTACTAGGTAAGTCTAGTTGCTAAGTTAGTCTGGAGGCTAACTCAGGCAAGGTGCTAGGCTTGTGGTAGGAGCAAATTAGATGCTGCCAATTGTTACGTGTTTAATGATTATACAAACTACACAAGCGAGCATTTTAGTAGAAAAAGATGAGTTAAAGAAACTCTGCATCTACCACACCAACAGAGCAGAGAATTGCAGCTCTTAGGTAGCTGTTGTTCTTGACCCCCACAAACTGTTTGCTGGTGGCTTGTGTGGAGGGTTTTGGGTTATTGAGAAATTTTTCCTGTTGAGATAAACTGGGCTGTGCTGCCGGTGGCCGTCAGCGTGCGATGCCACGTCCGAGGGCAGCTGCACATCTGAGCTTGCACAATGCTGTGCTTGTGGAGCTGTTGTTTGACTTGCTCGCTGGCTGGTTGCATCATTTTGGTCTCCTGGGTTTGGGGGGAAGTTGGCTGCCGATGAGAATTGAATCTGGGCTTTCCCTCTGCCTGTTGCAAGGAGAATGAGGATGTGGGACAGGGACAGCGGGCAGGTGGTGGTGCAGCAGAGTAGGGGCACGGCCTCTGTAGGGAGGCAGCTGTTCCTGAGCCCACCCATGCTCAGTTACTCATCTGCTTGGTAAATTGCCTGGTGTTGTAAAGCTTGAATTTTAAGGCTAGATTACATACTACAGCTCTTGTCCAAGTAGTAAAAAGATGAGTAAAACTCAATTTGGCAGTTGTTTTGCCTTGACAGTTGCAATGGCATTTGAAACTGATGTGCTGTGATTGCACAGAGTGTTTATGGGACGTTCTGCTTCATGGTGCGAGTGGTCTGGTGTGAACAGAAACGCGACAGCTTTATTTTTTGAACTGGCTTTCTGTCTGAAAACCTGCTCCTTTTCTGTTTTGACAGTGGAAAACTTTTCTTTTACCACTCTCACATAATACCGTAAACAATGAATTGTGTATGCAAATACACTTTGGGTACTTCTGGACAACTTGAGCTTTCAGCCACCTGGGACTTGTATTCTAAACACTCGTAAAACACATTCCACACAGCCCTTCCCTTCTGTCCTCTACGTCCAGGGAGAGGCAGAGTCAGTAAACTTGGAGGATTTTGCTTGTAACTCCTCTGCCATGGAGCATCTGGTGCTTGGAGTTACTGTAGCAAGGCTCTGCACCCAGCTCCCAGCCTTGCTTCTGCTTGTGACACTTCTCATTTTGGTCTCAATGGATGTTTATTTTCCTAAAACTTGAGTACAGTGGATATGTTAAATGTACCAGTGTGGAGGATGCAAGAAGGAAAAGCTTAACAAACAAAAAAATGTGTGGCTGTGTTCCAAATGAGGGCACATTAGAGCTGAGCCTTTCTGAGGTGTGCACCCTTGAGTAATCAGGTAGTCAAGCCTTTGCTGCTGGTGTCAGGCTCATCCTGTTAAGGCTGAAGTGTCCTAGCGGTGTCTGCACATGGAGTCAGAGGTGTCTTCCCAAATCCTCCTCCCTGCCGTGCTCCGAGGTGGAGTTAAACACATTGGCAGACGTAGTTGTGTGCAGTTCCCTGGCCCCTGCCTCATGGACGTAATGTTTGTGTTGCAATCCTCTCTGAAAACCTTGCCTGATCTTTCTGGGGAAAGAGCAAATAGGAGCTAAATTGTCAGCTTGATTTTCTGCCCTGTCCACGAGCATAGGTCAAAGGCCTGGAATAAAACCTGTAGGACAAAGTTCAAGCCGAGCTGTTGTTTACATGGTTCTGAGTGCAGCTTGGTCATGGGTGAGACATGGCAGTGGGGTGTTAATGACCCGGGGTTTGAATTTCTCGTGTCCACTTTGGAAGCCTTGGTTTAGTGGGATACTGTTACATGCACTTATCCCGAGGGGGTAGGTGCGGAATCCGAGACTGGAGAGCTTCCCTGTGGCTGAGGGAAGAAAGCAGGCATCCTCTTGTGATCAGGAGCACATCATTACTGAGAGGCTTGTTAACCAGGAATTTAGAAGGAGAGTTGTTGGAACACTGATTTTGTCTGGTTTTGTTTCCTCCTCTTTCAGTGTTAGGAGGAAAGCAGTAATTAATACAGCTGGGTGTTAAATGCAGCGTTTTCTGTTGGCTCCCACTCCTTCCTGGGATTCAGTTCCCAGGCTTAGCACAGACAGACAGTAGCAATCAAGTCTTTCAGTTAGTTTAGGATCCTTCTGAAGAGGAAAAATGTTCAGTGATGATCTGTGCTACACTTAGCTCTTCTTATCTTGGATATTTTACAGCCTAATATAGAAATAGTTAAATTTGTTTTGAAACAGAGTGCCTAATGTGCTGGTATTGGCAAAGAATCTGGAAGCATGAACTCCGGGTAGCAACTTCATAAGCTGAAGAAGAAATAGTTCAAAAATTCACCAAGTGTTGTCCAAAATACACAGTTGCAGAAAGTTACTGGGATGCACAGTTTCAATCCCTAATCTGTCCTTATTAGGAAGATTTTTGAATGAGGGGGGAGGGGGAATGTTCCTTGCTGGAGCAACAGTTTAAAGTGCAATGTCCTCTGTCAACTTATGCACAGTGAGCGTGACACCTTCAGTGGTGCTGTTAGATAAGATCAGAAAATGGTGTCTAAGAACATGATCTGAGAAAAAGCAACTCGTTCAAATCTTGGTGACAGTTGGTCTTTCTGGGATTTGTCTGGATTTTTTGTTTTTTAACATTGTTTCTTGAATAAGCTGGCATGACACTTGAATACACATGCTCATGACACTGAGCATGGCAGAAAACTAAATAGAAAACTGTTTTTTAGTATCTCCTGAAGGAATGCTTAGGAAAGGACTTTTCTACAGCAAAGTTAAACATAGTGTGGTCTGAGCACTGCAAGTGGGCAGCCTTTATCCAAAGCAATTTATTCCTGAAAACAATTTTACTATTTAGTTCCACCACAACATTGGTTACTTAAGAGGTCATTGAGAGGCTTCCACTGAGTCGGATGGTCTTGAGTCAGAATTTTAACTCGAGGTCATATTTTGTTTGTGCTTCTTGCTGATGAAAAGAATATAAAGGAGCATGAAGAATATACTCATGTCCAAAAGCAGCTAATGCACTTGGCAATCTTCTTAGGAGTGTATTTGTCCAGTAAACATAATGTAATAGGATCTAGTAGATTCCCAAATGTAGAAGATGTGCTGTAATGGAAATTGTAATGCTTGAAAAGTCTTCAGTTGCAGAACTTTAAAGGTCAGTGCAGAACTTTATATGGTCAATGTATGTAATTTGCCTTCACCATCTTGTAAAATCTCTCAAGGCTGAGTTTTTGGGGTTTTTTCAGTTTGCTACTAAGTTCAGTGTTTTGCATTACTCTAACTGAAATTTGGAACAGAAAGTTGTCTGCCAAAGTATAGCAGTTAAATGGCTTCCAAAGGAAAAAATCCAATTATGCCCCCTCAATCACTGCTTAAAATACAGCATCCCTGGTCTGTTGTGGTGTGGCAGTAGGAGGATTAATAGGAGAATATGCTGGTCTCAAGAATTTTGAGATCATCCTTTTGTCATGGGAAATATGTCCAATCTTCAAGTCAAACCAAATTTGGCTAATTCTGTCCAAGTTTTCTTTGCAACGACTGAAACTGATCTTGAGTTTTATTTGCTTCTTGACAGAAGAACCTTCCAAGTATAGCAGTTTGTTAAATTTAGTTCTGTGGGGATTGTACACTGCTGCTTTTAGATTTGTTTTAAACTGGAGGAGTCGTTTAAATTATGCCCTGTTAAAACAAAAGCAGAACACATACCAAGTAGCTTTTGCTCCGCTTTTTCTATGTTCAGGAGACCCAGTTACTAGGAATAGGCATTTAATTTAAAACTAGGTCAGTTGTCATGTATAGATACTTTAAATGAAGCATACAAAGCTCATATTGGCTAGATAGCTATTAGATAGATAAAACATTAGTGTATCTACTGGTAACTGTAAAGTGATAACAACCTGAAGACTTGTTTCAATCCATATTTCTCTTTTCCATTCTTTACAGGAAAATCTTCACTGACGATTCAGTTTGTGGAAGGACAGTTTGTTGATTCGTATGATCCAACCATAGAGAACAGTAAGTAAATAACTGACAAGCTGCTTTTCTGTACCTAAGTAACTTATCAGAAGTCCTTGGCGTTATACACACTGCTTATGTGGGCATTTACGTATTAACATGAAAGCTCATTAATTAACTCTTAAGTCTTATTACTCTTTTAAACCAACATTTACAGTATTGCAGCATGGAAATCACTGTGTACATGCTTCTCCAAACAGCTGAATTGTCTTTTAACACTGAATGAAGGAAAACCTGATGAACCTGGCTACAATACATCTCCTTGTATTGTATTATGTTGTTGGACATCTGCTTCCCCTGATGTAGTCAGGGCACTTTAAATTACATATGTCATACCTGTATGAAGATGTACCACTATATATGAGTATTCCAGAGTCTCACATGTCTTATTGGGTCAGTATATCCAGATGAACATAAAGCCATCAATACCAGTCAGAATTAAATGGCTACCTTAGAAGGGTGACATGCTGTGGCCATGATAACTTGATAACCTTTTCAATTACTCCTTTCCAGCTGTTTGATAACAAGGTTGGTACACTATCAACTTGCTGCAAATACTGAGTATTTGACTTCTCAAGTGTCTTTTTTCTCTTAGGGTTTTTTTTTTTTGTTGATATTAGTGCCTTTGTGAATAGCTAATGTAGTGGTTGGGTAAATACATTAATATTAAAAATGCTACCAAGAGCAAAAAGTCACTTCAGAGGTGAGTTACCTGGTATTCATTACAATCCAAGCATCTCTTTCTGAGCTAGAGATGGTCATAAAGTGCTTGAACAACTGCAGTGCTACTCTGAGTAACTTGATCATACTGGTTTACTTTAAATTGTGTGGCAGATAAAACTGGTTTCATGATTGTAACCCTGGAGTTGCTTGTATTTTAATGACTTCTGAAAAGCAGTGGTTTTAGTGTTATGAACTTCTGCAGTAGGATGCTGAGCCTATGTGATACTCTGTGAGTTTGAATGAAGCAATCAACAGAACAGGATTTCTTTTGAATTTATATGTGGTAATAATTACAGAACAGTAGCTATCAGGATATTTTACTCGGGATTATTTTACTGCTTAGAACTAAAATTCAAATGCTACTTTTTGAGAAACTCTCAATTTGCTTTAGCAAGTCAGAGTAGATAATATACCCCTTGGCCTGAATGATCTGAATGTTAGCTCTTACACAGATGTCATTCATACTAAGGCTTTCCATCATCCCTTTTTACTTTGCTAGAATTATAAGTAAGGTATGTTTTAAATTAAAACTACGCACAAAATACTGAGGATTAAGTTTCTGTATTTTAAATCTTAATGTCAGTTGGGACAGGTTATTTTTACTCTCTCTTTTATATAAATGCAAATTATTTAAAGTAATCTTTTTAAGTTTTATGCAGTTATATGGGAATGAACAAATTTACCATGGAGTCAAAGTCCCTACAAAATGCCAAGTCTGTGTCGTCTTATAGCGTTTTGACACCTTGGTACAAGCTTAGCTTGTTTCATCCTTTACCTGTTGTCTGTTACTGCTGTTAGAAACTCTGTAGCTGTGTGTCTCACACTGGTAGTGTTTCTTAACTATGAAAACACACCACAGATTAATTTTTCTCTTACTTAATCCTTGTAGTCTGCACTGCTTGCTTGATCTGAATTCTAATCATGGAGTATGTCATGGCCATGAAGACTTGTTGGGCGGGGACATCCTGAAAAGGCTTAACTTTTCACTTGATTTCTTCTTTATTTTGGAAACAAACAGCATTATTCATTTGGTGTAAGTCTTGTGATCTGTGGCTGTGACTGGAGGAAATTGCTTTTTGAAAGGTAGAGAACTGAAGAGCCCTTCTTGCATCAGAACATATTGCTGGGAAGTAAAGGTTGAAAACGTAGAAGTTATGCCCTGAGGTCCAAAACAGTGGGAAATCTGTCCCATCTTTAGGCCCTAGAATGCCTGATAAAGACAATATTTTAGAATTGCTTCTGTGAGGAAAAGAATAGAGAACACATTCTAATTTAATGAAAATTTTCAATTTATTGAAGGTATCTTTTTTAAGACAGAGATTTGCAACTAGTTTTGATGGATGTAATATAAACTAATTCTTTTGACTCATGTACTTAATATTTTTAAATATTTTTTTTTTATAAATATAAATCTTTGATCATTCCAGTCTTTTGACACTCCCAGCTGTATTTTTCTGATTCTATGCAGGGTCGTAAGACACAAAGTACGTTATCAACTCTTGCACTTTTCCTAGCTTATAATTTCAAATTTGGTGGACAATGCTGGCAAAAAGTGTTGAGAAGTCCGGGTTCCTATACTAGGGACAGTGTTGGAGAATGTTGCATTTTTCCAGTGCTTTTTATAGGAGGTTATAATTTTCAGTTTCATCTAGTGGTTGGGTCTACACTTACAAAAAAAGTACACAGTGAAGGGTAGACTGACCTGTGTGATTTCTGTTTTGTCTCCAGAAAATTGTCCTTGTAATGTATTACAGTATCCTACCAGCATTGATGAAAAGGTAGTACTGCAGGTAGCTTAATCTTTATAATTTTTGTCTTCTAATAATAAAATTTGCACAAAATGCTGAGTGTAAAGTTAAATTGTATAGAAGGCAAGCTATAGTCAAGCTCTTACAGGAAAAAGTTGTATAGGCCTTGAACAATAGGAATAAGACCTACTATTCCAAGAGTTTCATTTTCTAAGTGTGAAAATCTCTACCTTTGGAATTGTAAAGGGAAAACCAGGTGTATCAGATTTCACCGAGTGTTTGTGAAGGTGAACAGTACTTCACTGCTGCATTTTCCTTTGCTGGTTTATTTAAGTTAATGAGGATGTTGAATTCAGTTGCTTCTACTAAGCTTATGTATCAGGAAGAGTAACTTGTGTTCTGTGGCAGCAGTGGAGGTGAGACCTCACTGCTTAACAAAAGAGATTTTCCCTTTCTGAGTGTCCCAACAGGAGTGGCACCACGATGGTTTCAGGTTAAGAAACTAGTGGAACTACTACTTGTGGGAGTGTTGGAAGCAGAAGAAAGATCCCTGGAGAGCAGGAGTGTGTGGAGGGAGTCTGTGTGGACACTGGCCTGGATGGGGCTTTGAAGGCAGATTAGCTCACGTGAACTAAGACCATTGCAATTTAAAACTCAAAAATTTTACAGGAATGATAACTAGAATCTGAATTTGGAACTCAAATAGGTCAGAAGGAACAGATAATGAAGACATGCACATGTCTCCACCCACCCTGTCTTTGCAGGGATGTCTTGTGTTGCAGGAAAGATGACAGCCCCAGTCTCAAATATTTTCTCCAGGTCCTCCAAGGGCTGCCTGGCTGCTTTTTGATTTTTGTTGCTGTTTTAGAGGGGCTTCAAGCACTGTTCCACAGCTCTGTGGTCTTCCTTTCTCCCTTAAACAGGCTCACTAGCTCCTTAAGGAAAGGACAGATCTTCCCCCATTCACTTCCTGCCTCCATCCCATGTTTTTTGATGCAGCTGTGAGTAGAAGTGTTTTAGGAAGGAGGAGGGGGCTGGAGGAACCGTAGTAGTTGTGGAGGGGGTACCTATGGGTCTGTTAGAGCTAAACTTCTTCCACAAAGGGTGAATTGTGATTCTCCCCAGGAGCTGCTGGTGAGCAGCCTTCCTCAGTGAGGCTTCTGAGGAAAATTAAAAATAGCTCTGTTGCATCACACATCTCAGTGTTGTGAAAGATGTCCTGACAGATTAGTGACAGGCATTGACTTTGAAATGAAGACAGTAGAAAGGGACGCAGGAGGTAGTAACCCAGGAACCCTAATGAGGTGGTTGTATTTAGCTACAGCAGTGATGTTGCACCCAAATCTTCATTCACAAAGCCTAGCCATGATGATGTTGCACCACTCTCCTACTTTCACTCAGTATCACTGTTGATCTGAAAGCCTGCATTTGTTTGCCTGCCTTTTTTTTAATCGTAATGGCTTGTTTTCACAGCAGCTGTCATTTGAGTTGCATATGCAAATCATTTCATTCATACTGGTGTACTTGATCTTAGGGTAATGCTGATCACTGGAGTTCCGGGTTGTAAAGTGTGAGCATGTCCTGTTCCAAGATCATGTTCCAGTTGATGAGCAGCATTTTCCAGATGCAGAATGACTTAGGGGTGCAGAGGTTGGTCAGGCCTGCTGAATTCAGTCCTTGGCCTACCAGGAGGAACCAGGCTGTGCAGTGATTGTATAGTTGTTTTTCTTGCTCATCAGCACAACGAAAGGCAACGTGTCCCAGGATAGTAGGTGACGGAATTGGAAATGGTTGATTCCTCTGGATCAACAGATCACAATAAATACACTTGCAGGTTTTTCGGATGATGAAATTCTTAACCAGGAATATTTTTGAAAAGCTTCGGCAAAGAAATGAAAGTCATTAATTGTGACTTCATCGAAGCAGATCTGTCTCCATGCAGTGGGCTGTGCTTAGTGCTGCAAGGCTCTGCACTGAACTAACAGTTCTGTGGTGACTCCTCCACTGTTTCCCTTCCCTTATCTGTGTCACACTCTCTTTCAGTACTGTTGATGATGATGTCTTTGCTGGGTCTCTTCTAGGCTTCTAGAATAGTCTGAAAAAGCTGTCATCTCTCCCTTTTTAAATATTAACTTCATGATGCTCTTGAAGCTACTTTGACTGCAGAGTGCTTTGATGTGTATGTGCAGTGTCAAGAGACTGGAGAGGGACTGTTGTTTCCATACACCTGTTAATGCAGTGTGTCTCCAGAGGAGTCTGTTTTCCCTCTGACTAAAAGCAGGGATATTGTATTATAGCAACGCAGCCTGTTAACATCTGTTCAAACAAACAGTTTGTCCCCATCACAGTACCCATCCAAGGCAAAGAGCTGTTGTGGATCCTTGTTTTATAACCTAGAACTTTTGTGCAGCAATGACAACAGCATCCAGACAGTGACTTGAGAGCAGCACATGTGCTAAAGCAACTTTGTTAGGGGATGGCCAGGGTAAGGCAGGAGCTTTGATTCTCCATTTCAAATGGCAGTTTCTGGTATTGTAATGGAAGTTGTGGGTGTGCTTTACACTGTTGATTTGGACACTCTGTGTTAGCTTGGCTTTGCTGTTTGAATTGCTCCATTTTTTTGAAAGGGTGCTTTGATTTATGAGGTGGGTTGAAACCCCCAGTTTCAGCTATTTCAGCCCACTTATTCGAGATAATGCTCAAATTGTGGAGACTTGATGGGACAATGACCTTTGGGGGAGGAGGAAAGTTGGACAACTTCAGCTTCTAGGAGACCCTTTTCAAACCCAGAAAGCGTAGGCAGGGGACTGCACAGTGGGGTTGGGAACATCCAACTGCAGCTTTGGGAAGCTGTGGACAGCTTGACTGACCTAACAGCTTCCTTAACAGCTAACCTTAACAGCTGTGGACCTTAACTAACACTACACTGACCCATTCCCTGACTATTTCTCTGCTCGTCACTGCAGTGACAGATGAGGGTTTTAGGACTGGTAGTATTTGGGAAAATGACCTCAACCAGAGGACAACACAAACTTTACTCAGTATACCAGAACTGTCCCGTAATGGTGTCTGGAGTGCATCTTGAAGGCCAAAGCAGAGCTCCAAAGCTGGGTTTGTGTGTTCTGGTCAGTCCATTATTATTCCTACAAGAGCTGTGACACTGTTTGCTTTTGCAGTTGCATAACACAAACATTGAGTAAGAGATTCCTCAGCTCACAGCACGTTGGCATTTCATGAATCCGAGGAAGAGAAGCAATTCTCATCACTTTTGGGACTGAGTGTGCTTCGTGACTGAGGACTAGATGGGCTGGAAGCTACAGCAGATGTGAAAGCAACATGGTGAACTTTTAGCTAATTGTCATTATTTAGGTTTAGTATATTCGTAAGTGTGGTTCTATGTGTTTTAGCCCCCAAAGATTATTTTATTTTTCTTAATCAAGTACTTCATGGGATTTACATTTAGGGAATTGATTGTGCTAAACTGCTTGGAAACTGAGGAAAATATCCTGTAATAAGTTCAAACTTAGCTTTGATGCCAGTTGTATTTAAGTGTCTTATGTTACCAGTAATTACAGTTGCCTCAAAGTTTATTAGAAATGCATGTAAACCCCCGTTTTATTCTTTCCTTTTAAGAAAGTAAAGGAGGAACAGCTGCATCCAATGTGGGAATCTCCTGAAATTTGAAATCTTAAAGTAAATTTCTGAGTTTTGTTATCTGCAACAGACAAGTTAAAAGTACAGCACCCTATGTAGCCTTTTATTGCTACTTTAAAACCTGTAATTAAAGTTCTTTTTCTTAGTGGCTTGGCTGACAATGACACAGATGAGTGACTTCTGATCCCTTCCTTGTGTGTAATTCTGACATGTTTCTGTATTTCTTCTTTGTTCTAGCTTTTACAAAACTGATCACAGTAAATGGCCAAGAATATCATCTTCAGCTGGTTGACACTGCTGGCCAAGTAAGTTATCTTTCCTTCTCTGAATCTCTCTTCAGAGTTAAGACAATAGGTATTCATACTTCTGTTGAGCTAAGTTTGTAGTGACCATGCATTCAGAGGTGAAATGATGCTGACTTCTTGTGTAGTCACTAAAGACTTTCTTTGTAGTGTTTATTTAAAGGCTTTGGTTTGAGGTTTATTAGTGATTTTTTGTTTTGTTTTTTTCCTGTCTTTTGAATGGATGTCTAAAAAAGGGAAGAGGGAACTGCCTTAACTCTGTCCCAAAAGTACATAAGTAGCTTGTTTGATATTTACAGAGCAAATTACGAGCCTTGCTTTAGGTGGAAAATGTCACTTCAGTTAACCATGGGGAAATTTTCCATGAATTTTCCTATTTGTGTGTGCTCCAGCTACACCACCATGACTTGTATCCATGAAACAGTCACAGGGAGTAGGCAGAAATGCATGTAGGTGGTACTCACTGGGCTACCAGTAAACTGCTTTACTTTGTTTACATTTTAACGCGATGGTTCACAAGTGCGTCCGAGCTTCCCCTAATGACAGGGAGCACAGGAGGAGACAGGGAACACGTGTCCTGGAGTGTGTTCAGGAGCTTTGTGAGGTGCAGGTGTTCATTACATACAGATCTAGGTGTTCATTACACAGGGCTGCTTGGCTGAACTTGCACTGCACGTTCTGTGCACGGGAGCGCTGCCTCTTTTGAAACACTCTGTATTAGGGGAAAAAACCATCAGGGATCATTAAAACCCTGTATTTTTATCCTTAACGTTTTTTTTGCTTATGTGTTCTTACCTTCTGTGATCTCATACGATGCCTTTGGGTTTTACCAAACTGTGAATAGTGTTGAACAACGTTAGTGTTATAAAATCTGCTGCCAGTACTTAAGAACTGTAAAGCTGTGGGACGCTTGCTCATAGCTGGGGGACTGTTCAGAAGGGCTGTAACCTTCTAGGTATGTTTGATTGCTTTCTTTGAAGAGCACCATGCTGTATTTAGGTGGTGTCAGCTTGTGGTGCTCATCAGCAACACGTATGATCTCTGAGCTGTCTGAGCACAGTACTGGCCACACGTTCTGGGGCAGGATTGTTTGATGGGGATTGTTCTGCAGAGGAGAGTGAGGGTGAGAGAGGGGCAGGCTGAGAAGTGTGAGCAGCAGAGGAAGCTCCATAGGTGTCATTTTGTGCCATTGTAAGTGCACTTGCCTTACAGCTCCGATTGTGTAGCGCAGTGATAAAAGAAAAAAAAATCTCTTTGAGGAGGAAATTGCCTTCTGGGAAGGCACTGTAACTCACCAGTAACATACCTCTATTGCTGAGGATTGATTTAACCTCATACAGTATTTTAGAGCCAAAATAGCTTCTTTCCCAGCCTGTCGTTATTTTAAAATTTAATTCTTCGTGGAATGACTTGAACTTTGAGTTCTGGCTCACAGGGTTAGAGGGGACAGATGATTTGGGGTTATGGAGGGTGTGGCTTGGACAGATTTCTTCTTTAAGTCAGTCTTGCTTAATGGTCCATAGGGAGTACTTATGTGTATACAGCACAGCAAGGATTATATTGTAGATTGGTTATGTACTTTTGAAAACCTGGCTATGGCTTCAAAAGTTGTAGCAACATTGTTATATCACTTGACAAATTCCTTAATTTGACCCACAAGTACCAGGGAATTGGCAGGTTTTCTTCCTTCTCCTAACGAGCTAAAAATTAAGTCATGAATTAGAAATAGTTGAGGTTATGACACTTATTTTTCTTAGTACTCCTCCTCTGTCCTGTGTCTCTTTACCTGTCATGGTTATTTACTGAGCTCTGTGCAGTTCAGTTCAACAGGAGTCTTGGTACGGGGTCACAGAGGAGAAGTGCAAAAGGAAATCTTACCTAACACCAAATTCCAGCGGATTTACCAGGAATTCCTGAAGAATTCCGGGTAAAGTCAAGCAACAGAGCTGCACTTTCACCTGTTTTACACTGAGACTGACTTGGATGCCTCCTCTATTGACTTTGGGATTACACATCCCGCTGGAGTGGCAGTTTAGCATTTCACAGAAGATGGAGGAGGGCTGCCCTCTGTGTGTAGCAATAAAGGCAAATAAGGGCAGCTTTTGTTAAGTGTTATTCTTTCAAACTTTTTTTGGCTGGATCTGTGAAGTTGATTTATGAAGAGTTTTTCCTCTTCTGCCAGTTAGGGAAGTTTGATTCCTTTTGGCTGTCTGGATTTAAGCTGTGTGATTGCACTGTTCCATCTGTTCAGCCATGACAATATACAGAGAGGTTATTTGATCTTAAGATAAAATTAACATTTTCAGAAGCACAGGTTTAACAATTTGAGAACTCATCCTTTAAGAAGTATGGCTGTTGTCAAAATGGAAATTTTTCCTGGAAATATGAGTTGGAACAACTTGGGTTTTTAACATTGGATTCCTAGTGTTTGTGTTGCATTACCTGCAATATATGAGTGTTTCATTTGCCTCTTTGGTCAGTTCCTTTTCTAGAGGGGTAGTAAATTCAGTGATGAAGTTTCTGGTGTTTTGTTTGGTTTTTTTATTTATTTAAACACTTGTCATATAATGTAAATTTAGAGTTGTCATATAGCATCTAATAACTGTACTTCTTGCATCTTTAGTTGATAAACATTAGTTAGTAAGCCACAATTAATCACTTCCTAACAGACCCCTTAGGTAATTTAGATGTGATCAGTGTCACTTGAAATTACAAACTGCTAGATCTGTTGTCAGCTGTTGAAATTAGGATTTTGAAATGTATCACCAGCAAGATAAGAGGTGTAGTTACTAACTAGTGGTGGGACAGAGTAGATGTTTTGTACTAATAGAAACTGATAATTAAGCAGGATAAGAGGATTGGGAATAGCTTCAGCTCATCCATAGTCTTAGAGGGAATAAAACAGAAAAGCTGTGGATTAAATTGTACAGTATACAGACTGACTTTAGCTTTCTCTTAATTTGGTAAAGATTCCACATCTGACATTGTGTTGAAAAAAAATCTGAAAGTACTACCCATATAAAATGCACCTCATGTCTTAGAAATATGACCAGCTTATCTGATGGTGATCTGATAGCATCAAGTTCTGAACTGTGGCAACCTTAATTTTAAATGCAATATTCCTTCTACAGGATGAATACTCCATATTTCCTCAGACGTACTCCATAGACATCAATGGCTACATTCTTGTTTATTCAGTCACGTCAATAAAAAGGTAATAAAATCTGTTGTGTTCTTCTGGTTTAGGTGTTTTCTGGGTTTAGCTCCTGCCTCTGCTATGTTTTCTTTATCTGCAAATAACTCAGTTAATATCTCTTTCCCTTAGAAATACAATAGAAATTAAAATTAAAGCTTTTTCAGAAATGTCCACTCAGATCCAAATGCCACAGGCACTTTGCAGGCTAACATGCAAGGTGCCCTGTAAGAAATGAGACAGTGCTGAACTAGATTATTTTGAGGTGTAAGTAAAAGTACAAAGAGTGATTTCAGGAATAACTATGGAGTTCATTGCTCTTGCATCAGATACAAAGGCAGATGTAAACCTGAACCTAAAGGGCACTGTACCTTCATGTGAAGTACCCAATTAGTTGCTAGATCAGTCGCTTGGCCTTGTAGCTTTTTACAGGGCTGAGATTTCTTTGACTTCTTGTCTTGGATTGTTCCAATTAACCATCAGAAATTTTCTTATAAACAGCAATATATGACTCTTGGACTGCAGACTCACTCTTGACATGCTGCAGCCAGAGGATCTGGTTTTTTCCGTGCTATTAGCTGTCCATTCTGACGTGAGGGCAGAGTCCATCGTAGCTGGAGTGATTCACTTGCAAGACTCATCTGGGCCTTTGTATTACTTTGTCATCTTCTGTTATTTTCTCCCTTCCTGTGGTCATCTTGCTTGTTTAAGTACTAGTTATTCTTGAGGAGATGTTAATTTTCTAATATTGTACAATATCTTCTTTTGCAACAGCTTTATTAATCCTGTTATCTTAATTTTTTTTTTTTTGAGTTAAATGAATAAGATCTTAGGCCTTTCACTGTCATCAGGTGCAAGAGAAGTAGGTGCTTCTCTTATACTTGAAGAAAGCTGATGAGCTCTTTGTGAGTGCTGAAGCATTCCATGTCTTTTCCTCTAAATCAGACAAAACTGGTCATTTCAAGTGCTCTTTAGCAGACCATTGTAATACAACTTGCCTGTTGGCTCTTCTGTACTTCTCAAAGAAAGGATATGGTCTGATTATGAACTTCTGTTGCTTCTCAGGTCTTTAATGTTGAACAGATTTCACAGTCCTTCGTTCTTGGTTTTCATCTTCAGTTCTGAAGTAGAGAAGGTCAAACACATGTGATCTGGAGGAAATGCAATGGATGTTGGGCTTTTGTGTGTCTAGAGACTAAACTACCTAGTTCCATTGGATCTGGGTTATTTAATGAGGGATTCAGTGTTGATGCTGAGTAACTGGTATGAAATAGGAGTTAGTGTTCTCTGCCTTGAGAACACTCCCAAAGTGAGTACAGAAATGTTCACTGATAAGTGGTACTGTGAGGCCAAAAGTGGCTTTGACTAAAATCACTTGGAGGATTCTGCAACTTGTGCTGTTCCTTGGTTGGCAGCTAAAGGACATATTCTTAGCCACTCAGTTGTTGCCTCATGATGTCTGTGGTAGCATTCAATTGGCTAAAACAGTAACCAGGTTATAGTGAAAATATAAACAGGACAGAATAGTTTAAGACTGCAGGTAGAAACTCTTACCGTCAGTATTAAGTCTTGATCAATTTATTCCAAGATTGTTTGGGTTTGGGGTTTTTTTTCTTCCTTTAAATTTTCAAAGTACCAATGATCCCATCTTGTTCAGTTCCTTGTGTTCTGTATCAAGACGTTGTTAGGCAGTAGGGAAGATCTTCCACAATACTCTGATAGCATCAGTGACTTGCTCAGGCAGTCAGATCAGTCACCATCTGTCTTGACTTCTGTCCAAGTGTGTGTATTGATCTGAGTATTGATCCAGCTGGGGTGAGAGCTTTGACAGCAAACTTAATAGAAATGCTCTTTTAAAATTACCATCTTCCCTGCCAGCCTCCAGTGGAAGTTTAAATAGGACTTGAATAAGAGCTAATGCCCTACATTTTTCATATTCCCAGGCTCTCAGCAGCAAGGTTACTGGGAGGCTTTTGCTCTAGTTCAGCTTAATTAAATTCCAATTTTGTATCTTGCTAAGTTCCATGATTTTGTGTAACACATTTATCTGCCAGCTAGTAATTTATTTTTTTTTTGCATTTCACACATTTTGCTGTTTCCTGTAGCCCATTTGCTTGACAGAACTAGAAAGGACCTCTTGTAGCCTCCAGATCTCTCACAGTTTCAGAGCTTAATGTGATGATGTTCTTTTTGGATTGGTCAGCATCTGTCTTAGTGTGTCGCTGCTCCTTCTGACCTTAATTATTTGAACAGCGTTCTAGAACACTAATTGGTCAAGCCAATTTAATTCCTGGCAGTTCTTGGCAGCTTGTTTCTGTGTCAGAATTGTGTTTGAGTTTAAATAGCACTTCTCGTGTGACTTCCACCTCGGTCAGTTAACAAAGATCAGTTGTGTATTTGTAGTATTTTTGCTGGAAAAGGAAGCTTGTGAACTCTTAGACAAACAGACAGATACCCAGAATTGGGAAATGGGGAGCCCAGGTTGGACAAGAACACCTGGCAGCACTGTGCACTGAGACCTCAGGTGGGGACTCACCAGGGCTGTGCTGTGGTGTATTTCTGGCTGAGCTGGAAACAACACACCTAATAGGGGAAAGGAAACAGAGATTGTACTGTGCCAGGGATTCAGTTATCCTGTGGCTACTGTGCTAAGATCCTTCCTCTTTCTTCAGATGAAAAACAGTTTTGTGGTCTGTAGCAGATTTTTTTTGTAGCATTTTCATTCTTCTTTCAGTTTGCAGGGTCACCTAGTTCTGTGTGTAGTGTTGCCTCTCAACTCTGTCACAGCCAAGCTCCATTTAATTTTTTTTTTTAAATAATTAGGAGTGTCCAAGACAAGTTCTCAAGACCAGAATTTCACTAATAGTTTTCAGCATAAGCTCTTTGTGTCCTTGAAGTCCTTTCATTGATTTCACATTTTCCTGTAATCTGTAGTATCCAGCTTGAGTTACCAGTAGTAAGTTGTGCCAGACTGAGTCAGGCTTTTGTTTACAAAGAACTCATTTTCTTGATAGGATATACTGAAACTATTAGCTGAACATGGAGAAGCATTGTGTTCTACTCAATCTCAAAAATTATTGCTGCAGTCAGACAAATTGACCTACTTGACAGAAAATCCATCTTAAATGTGGTAGCATTTATTGTTCCAGAAGTGAGAGGTTTTAATGCTTTCAGTAGTGTTTTTAGGCACCAGGTCTTTGATTGCTCTGAGATGGAAGTGTGTTTGAGTGCTGCTCTATTTTTAAGAGTTTCAACTCTAATTGAAATGCAGTGCAAGTCAAGACACTGCCTGTAGCTAACAACCTTAGAAACTGGAAGAATTTCAGTCCCTTTTTTTTTGTTGTGTGTCTCATCTGTGAGCCTGTGCCTTCCTTAAAACAAATCTGAGTTGTGTCCTTCGTGTACCAGCATTCATTCCATAATGTAACTAGAGGAGCACAACATCTGCTCTTCAGCCCCGTTTATAGCTTGTTCCCAAAAGTACTGAATGTCAAATGCAGTGGATTTTGTTAGTGAGGTTTTTGCCTTCTTGGTATTTCACAGAACTTCTTCTTTACCTCCTGTATCCAAACTTCACCTACATGGTAGGGCAACAGACAACAAATATTCAAATAGTCACTGTTTCAATGCCATCCTGCAGATCAGTTTACTCACTTTCCATAGAAAATCAAAATTTTAGGCTTATTTTGTCTTTCACATAAGTAAAACTTTAAAATTATGTATGAACTAAGTGTTCTTAAAAAACAATGTATTCTTTTGAGATGGAGCCTGCTTAACTAATTACTTTTTCTTTCCAATTGCTTTAATTTGACATACTCATCCAGGGTTGTTGGACTGTAGCAGTTGAATTTCTCGCTGCAGATATAAACCAGATGAGAGGTGGGAGGGACTTGGGGTGATTCTGTGTTAGATGCATCAGTCCTGGGTAATGTTATTTATTTCTGCAAATGCCATAGCTGGGGAGGCTGTAAGGGTAGGCACAGGCTGGTCCCTGCTGCTGCTGGGACCAGTTTGCTGTTGTAACACAAGTGGGTGAGACTTTGGGGCATCTTTGTAGTTCTGCCATTGTACATAGAGTAAGTTTTAAACACAGCAACCTACATATGCATGTAATTGCTTGTGTATTGGGTATTGAGGATAAACATCAGAGTGCATGTGTGACTTCATCCCTTTATTTTGCAGTTTTGAAGTGATAAAAGTTATCCATGGCAAGTTATTGGATATGGTGGGAAAAGTCCAGTAAGTAGTGACACTTTCATCTCATTTCATTGCAGGCATGTTGCTAGTGCTTTGTTCAGTATACTGTAACTGTTCTGAAGTTCTGAACTTTCTTTCACAGAATACCCATTATGCTGGTTGGAAATAAAAAAGACCTGCATATGGAACGGTATGTGAACTCCAGAATGTGGGAAATGCAAGGCAGCAGCCCACATTCCTGTGGCTGCAGCACACTGGCTTTGTTCTTGGCTTTCCATAACTAAAATCAAATTGTAGGTTAAAATAAGGTACTGGGCAAAGGAACTGTGTCCAGAATGTGAACTGTGAGCCATGAACTTCTATTGTAATGTTGATTTTTGCTATAAGGTTCCAGGGACAGTCATTTAACACTCTGGGTTTGTTTGTGGTTTTTTTCCAAAATAAGTAACAGAAGTGTATTTGTCACAACTGTACAATACCAGATGAGGTTACAGATCATGAAAATGAAGCAGTACTTTGGGACAACTGCTCTTCTGGGTCGTAGAGGAGTTTTATACCTGGCCCAGTAGTGCATTTGACAGCAGCCAAAAGCAGATGCTTTAGATCAGACTTCACAAGACATTCCTGTTACAATGCACTTAATGTACTTTGGTACTTGGAGGTATTTCTTGACATATCAGATTCCAATTTTTCTGCAAGCTATAAAGAACATACTTTTCTTTCTTTGGTCAGGGTGATCAGCTATGAAGAAGGGAAAGCTTTAGCAGAATCCTGGAATGCAGCTTTCTTGGAATCTTCTGCTAAAGAAAATCAGGTAATGGATTTAAGAGTCACTTCATTCAAACAGCAGTGTAATGGATGACTCATAGTTTCACTTAATAAGGGAAGCTGAAGTATTTGCATGTACTCTACAGGTATTTTGTGTAGATGGAAACAGAATGGCTGCCTGCATTCAGGCATTCCATGCAACTGTCAATGGGAGGAAGAAGTGAAGAACTGAAAGTTAAGCTTCTCTGAACACAGCAGAACACTTAGTGACAAAAAAAACCCCCAGATCCACGTGGTGGGGGGGACGGGGTCTGTTACCTTAAATAAGAGGTCACTGATTATACAGCAGTGAGTTTGTATGAGGGAATGAACCTTGTGTATTAAGGTGCTGGGCAAGGCTCAGTCTCTGTGTTGTGGGGAATAATCATTCTGTGTGTCCATGGGGTGGGGGCACACAGAAAAGTGTCAGAACTCAGCAGAAGCTCAGCACCACTGTGACACAGCTGGAGTGAAGCTGCACAATCTGAAGCATTTTAACCCACACACATTTACACTTGCTGGTCTCCTATCACAGAAAGAAAGTGTTTAATTACATGGTAAATAACATCTTATTCTTGGTTGCTCTAAATAACTTTTTTTGAAATGCCTCCTAAATATGTTATGGTATCTGAATTTGTTCCTGTGGCTGGTAATAATATTTTGTCATTGGTTTGACACCTTACATATCTTAAGCTACAAGAGCCTCCTAGTTCAGATGTGAGGTGATGGATAACTGCTGCAGGCTGGGGAGGAGGTGTAGGGTTTTTCCCCTTTTTTTTTTATTTTATTTTTTTCTTATAGGTCTCAAGAGCATCAAAGCTTTTGATTTTTGAAAATATAGACACATGATAAGGTCTCACATTTAAGGTAGCATATCACATCCTTGTCCTCCTTGGTAACACGAGCACAATCAGAAGGGCAGTCATGTAGCTGTGACAGGACCTGTTTCAGCAGCCTTTCTTTCTTTCCCTATCCCCTATCCCCAAAATCAAAACAAAAGCTTTTGTCCAGTGTTTATTGTCAACAGTTCTACAAGTTACTTGAGTAAAGTTGGATTTTCCCTGGAAGAAAATCTTGGATTGTTTTTTGTCACCAGATATGGAACACTTGGAGTTAGTTTACCAGTATTTCTGACTTGTATGAACCTTGTCAAAACTGGGCATGATGAAAGCATGAAATTTCTCAATACCTTCTCTGTATGCTGGAGAGCTTCAAATGCATACCAAAGGAAATTAAATTGACAGTGTAAAGAATAAACCCATTAAAAACATCTGATCTTTTTTTTCCACTTCTTTATTTTTAAATGACTTAATACTTCTGGATTAGGCAAAGCTATTGCCAGTGCTCTTTTTCTTTTGGCATATGTTCACAGTGTGTAACAGCACAGCGATTCATATGCAGCAGAATATCTTACTGGTAACTTTTTGAGTTTTTATTGTTCTTGAACCAAGAATAAAAAAGGTTGGCTTTATGCAAAGAAGCAGCAAGCTTTCTAGGATGCTTGGCATGTCTTGTGTGTAAACTTGCTGCACTGACAAAGCCCCATTGACTGCCATGTATTTGTGACTGTTCCTTAGTCTCAGACTGTCTGTATTAAGTTAAGCTGCCAGCTGGAATTTATATGGCAAAATTGGTAGCCTTCAGGGAAATCAGAATGACAATTGCATGTCTGATACTCAATCCTGGACAGGCCTGTACAAATCCCACCAAAAATAAAAAATAAAATCAGAAGTTGTGTGTATTCTTGCTGGCAAAGGTCTTCCTTTCAGCAGGATCCTCCAGAACAGCGACTGCAGGTCACTGTAAGTTGTGTCCCTCTGCATTTAGCAGCAGGTTGGCAGAGGCAGGTGCTCGAACACAGTTCCTCCTTCACGCCTCTTACATAATACACTTGGAAAATTTGTCCAACTTGAAGTTTGGGAGATCATATGTCACTTCTGAGATGGGTGCTCACAGCATGTGACCATCCTTCAAGGCTCCCTGACATATTTCCTTCAGAAGGTTGGGATGTACGGAAGAAAGTGGGAAGGAGCCCAAAACTGGCACAGCTGCCTTAGTCTGTCTTGCAGACCTCCACCTCTGAAGGGGTGGAAGATTGAGCGTTGAGAGCCAAGTGTGGAGTCTGGATCTGTGAGGTGCTGGGGGAACAGGAGGCGTCAGGCATTGTAACATCCCTCCCTGTGGGTTGGACCAGGAGCACTTCTGAACTCAAGCGGGTTTTTTCCTCCAAATCTTAATTTGACAGAGTAAAACCAGCTCATCTATAGACCTGTCTCAAGACAGAGTATCTTCTCTTACTCTGAAACTGTCTCTGGTTTGGGGGGGAAAAGGTTCTGTTTTGACCTTGATAACAACCTGTGCTGTCATTTTCCTGGTACTGAGTGTTCACCTTGCATAAGTCAACATAACTGGAAAAAGAAATCTGTTGGTATTTTTGCTTTGAAGTTTATCCAGATAATCACCTGTACTGGCTTTGTACGGCAAGTGTAGCTTAACTATTGATATTAATTCTATACTCCTTCCAACAGTGCTTTAGCTTCTGTTTGCTTAATAGAACACCAGTTTGATGCTTAAAGGGATGAACTGGACTGGATTGGGAATTTAGCAGAGAGTTCAAAGCTTCCTGAGTGGGGGAACATCTGTTAATTCTCTCAGAAACTGAGCCATCTCTGTGTGGTGGATGTGGAACAGAGGAATGACAGTGTCTGGTGCGCTGGTCTGAGATTGGCTGGGTATGTGATGTTCTTCACAGCTGTGAGGAGGGAAGGTCTTTCTGCCACAGGGGTTAGACCACACTCCGTCAGCTGCGTGGTTTGTCCTTTGCAAAGAGCTGCTGAAAGCAGAGGTGTTCCCTATAACAGGATCTGATGGCAAAGGCTCATTTCTCCCTCTTCTGCCTTCCCACTTTGCCCTCCTGCCCCCTATACCCCCAGAAAAATCCTTTTTGGAGCATCTACAAGAGTCCAAGGAGCTTGGCCTAGCAATGTTGGGCAATTAAAATAGCTCTGTAGATTAACTTAAGCAAACTATACCTATTCTGCCAGGAGTTAGCAAAAGATAACACATTCCAGAAATGACGTGACTTGGAGTAGATGGAAAATGAGACAGGCAAAGATCAAAGCTGTGGTGATGATAAATGGCAGTGGCTGGCCACAGTCCTCAAGGTCAGATACATCTCCTCCAGACAATGGGTGACCTGGTAGGACTTTGGGAGGAGCCTGCATATCACCAGCACATCAGTCATCAGGGGAAGTCCCTGGGCTTTGGGAAGGCAATTCTGAGACTTCATGGAAAAGACCTCTGAGATGACTGCTAGGGTATTATTGTAATGTCTTCTCAAGCTGCTTCATTATTACCAGACATGCTGAACTGCTCTGGATAACTTCAGGAACTTCAGGCCTTTCTTGTGGAATTCCCTACTTAGTTTCACCTAGGCCATGGTAGAGTGCTTCATCTTAATCCCAGTACAATAAAGTAGTAACTGTTTGAAATACAGCCAGAATCCAAATTGGTCTTAAACCTAGTTGAAAGTGGGACCCAACTTTTACTGGAGGAATTTAGGGAGTAACAAGTAACCAAGTTATGTTCATCCAGCAAGGAAGTAGCAAAAAATGTACTTCTTACCAAATGTAAGAAGTACCAAATGTACTTCTTACCAGTTACTTGGTTGTTGCTTATTTTTTGAGGGCAACTTCATCTTTGAGCTCAGAAGATGCAGTGCTCAGTAAATGCTTGAGTAGTTTGGGATCCCGGGGTCTGACATGTTTGGACTGTGTTTGGACTGGCAAAGGATGGAGGAAAAACTCTCTCTTCCTTTGCCTAAGGATTGTTCAAATTCCTTTGCCCAGTTCTGTGCCAGGATAAACCAGTAGTATGAGCAGTTGAGAGTTTCCTCTTTGAAATAATAAAACAGTTGCCAAAGGATGACTCTGGCAGCTGTGGGCTGGATTTGGGTGCTTGCACCTTCCTGCTGGCTCCTGGCAGCACATTCCTGACTCCCTGCTCGTGCAGAGAATTCCACATCCCGAGCTGTCTGTCCTGCTCCCACCGAGGGGCACATCTGCAGCAGCAGCTGAGTCTCTGGTGTCTCCTGCACGGTGCTGAGCTCCCCAGGCAGCAGGTGTTGCCCAGGCTGACATGGATTTTGTTTCCTCAGGGGCAGAAAGGTAGAAGGAAGCCAGATGGCTTTCTGTGGGCTAGGTGTGACCCACATTCCATAATCGGAACATATGGAGGCAGATGCATATAAAGTCTGGCTGTGTTCTTTATTCCTTGTCACAAAACACAGCTTCCTGTGTTGTTTAAGGGCTCGGTCTAAAATTCATCAGCAGATTTGAGCTGGATTACAAATTCTAAAGCGTTAACTGTGGGACAGCGACTAAACCTTCCCAGTGAATATGTATTTTCTGTGAAATGAATTAACAAACCCCGTGAACTCCTACATCCTAGTGCTTCAAACAGCACATCTTTGACAGGGAATGTGCAGCTTCTTGGTTGACAGAGTAAGCTGTGGAGGTTTTTTAATGGGTGCTGTGAAACGTGGGCATGAAGAACTTGTGCACTGAAATGAAACCATTGAAAATTTCGCCTCCAAGGCAACAGTGGTGCAGTATATTTGTAAATCAGTGTGTCACCAACTTTTGATTAAGGGAAACTCTTCATTAGTGAAACTAGTTTGATAGCAACTGCAGTGCACTGTTCTTCTAGAGTCTAATTTGCCCAGGAAATGTTGTATCATTACTGAACAAATGAGCCACTTCTGTCAGGTCCTGTTGGGATTGCAGGAAGCTGCATTATATGGAGGAATACTCTATTTCCAGCTGGTGAAGTATTTTAAATAGTTCCAGAGATCGTACTGTGCACAAACAGTATAAATATGGGAAACTTTAACATTCAGTCTAATCTTGTTAAGTCTGTTGTGGGGATTCAGTCAATGGGATTAATTTGGAAGTGATCCAGTTGAGAATTATGTCTTGTGGAGGTGGAAAAACATGTGTTAGATCAGAATACATAGTCATAAATCACCAAGTGCTCTTCAGCCTGCTGATTAAAACCACAAAACCCCCTTTTTATCCTCTTTCGTACTGCAACTGCTTTTATATAATGAATATATTTTCCTGTGCTTGGAATTCCTGAAATGGGTGACTGAAAGTTAGATGAAATGACACGTCTGAGATGATCTTGAGAATGTTTCCAAGTCGAAGATTCAAACACTGAAGCACTAATTGTACAGTGCAGGCTGTTTAAAATATAAACCCCCTTTCTCTCAGAAGGGCTTAATCAAAGGATATTGCTTAATATTTGTGTTTTCCCCTCATGTTCCTGCACCATGTCTAATACTGATCTTACCTATAGGGAAGATGAGAAAAATCAAGAATATTAAAAATACCCCTCATTCTGGGCTGTGCAAAGTCAGTGTTGAGAGCTGAAAAATCTGCTGCCTTCTGTAATTACTCGGTATCTTAAAGATTACTGAGAGGAAATGAATTGGCTTATTCTCCGGAGCAGCACAGCATCAAGATCTTCCGTGCTCTCAGTCATTCAGTGCAAGCTCACTATGCAAAATAAAGTGAATTACAGGTTATTAGCTCTGTTGTGAGTCTGGCTCACTTTGTACCTGCCCTCCCTGCTGTGACAGAAACCAGTTGAGGATTGCTGTGGAACAGGGGTTTACACTTTTCATTTGGAATGGAAATTACCGTTATTTTCCCTCTTTGCTTTCGGACTGAGCATTGGATGTGCATTTATCTGCTGATGTAGCCAGTAAAACTGCTAACATATTTTTAATTATTTTTTCAGTAAGTAGGCAGTTTCTTCTTCCCTCCTAATGGTGTGCTCTCTCTTTGCAGACTGCCGTTGATGTTTTTAAGAGGATAATTTTGGAGGCAGAAAAAATTGATGGGGCAGCTTCACAAGGGAAGTCTTCATGCTCAGTAATGTAATTCCACTGCAGAACCTGAAAACACTGGGAATACATTCTACCTGAAGAAGCAAAACTGCCCATTATCTTTAAAGATAAACTATGCTTCTTTTTTTTTTTTTTAATTTTATTTTTTTTTTCTTCTGTTAACCTGAAAGATAAACAGTTGGTTTGGAGCCTTTCCCTTCAGATTATGTTAAACTCTGACTCCTGTGCAAATGGCTTCACTTCCATTTTCAAATTTTAAGCAATCATATTTTCAATTTATATATTGTATTTCTTAATATTATGACCAAGAATTTTACTGGCATTAATTTTTCAGTGTAGTTTGTTGGTTAGAATAATCATCAAAATGATGCATATTGTTACACTACTATTAACTAGGCTTGGATATCAGTGTTTCTTTGTGTTAAATGTATACTTGTAAATAAAATAGCTGCAAACCTTAAATGTTCTGTTTATAATTTTTCGTTGATTACTCCATATCAACTTTTTTTTTTTTTTTAATTTTATTTTATTTTTTTTTCTTTGTGAAAAATGTTCACCTGCTGACCTTAAGAGGAGGCGTGAGAGATCCTTGGAGCCAATGGATTGTTTGACTATTGCTTGGGAAGTTGTTTGCGAGTGATCCCAAACATTTTTTGCTACTGGAACTCCAGGCTGGCCAAGGAGCTCAGCTTTGCTTTGTGCCCGTTCACGGGAAGGAGAGATGAGTGACAGCTTTTTTTTTTTTTGGAAGGGGTTTCAGTCAGACAAACCTGCTCTGTGTTTTTCCTCTGTACCTGTTGAGTGGAGGGTGCACGGGTGTCCCGAGGAAGGGGCCGGCGGACCCCGTGCTGTGGACTGTTCACCTGGACTTGTAACTGGGAACGCTGTCAGGATGGAGTGGATTTATCCAGGTCACAAGCGTAGACTTGTTAAGAGAACAAAAAAAAATGTCATTTAAAATAAATTGCACGTCCTGAACAAACTGATGTGGGCTGTTTGTCGTGCGTTTCTCTGCTTCTGCATCTGCGTGGCACTGGTGGAGGTGAGCGGTCTCCTGGCACCTGGCACAGCCCCGTGCAGCTTTCCCTGACCAGCTCCTTGGCTTTTGGACTAGAGGCTTAAACAAGCCTTGATCTCTCAAGTCTGGAAACAAAGTACTTCAACTATATATTTAAAAAATGTGCGGTTGAGCTACTTGGTATTGAAAAGCAAAACAAACCCCAAAACAGTAAAAACAAACAGGGCTGGTCTGGGGAACAGCTAATTAAATGAAGTGTTTCTCATGCATTTTTGTGTCCATCTGAAAACTTAATTTCTGGCAGGAGAAAAATGGAGGGGAAACTTGCAATGTTTTGACAAGCAGAGTTAGTTAGCTGTTGCATTCTGGTCTGTCCTAAGAGATGCAAGTTCAGCATCTTGTTTCTTTATTTTCTTTGCGCAGTTGTTCCCTCATATTAAATAGAAAATGGTCTAAACCTCTCAGTTAGCAGTGTATGCAGTAAAACTTGGTGTTTTCTTTGGTTATCATGACATTAACTGGCTTCCTGTTGAAAAAAAACGTTGCTCTTTTTATCTCCATTTAGGATATTCCCCAAAGTTCCTGTTACATGCATTTTCATACCCTGTGCCAAGTGCAGGTTCAGTAGCTGGATGGTTGTCATACATGATGGATTGCTGGAGTTCAACAACGTCGGAGTGCTCAATCAGGGAAACCAGTCCGTGCCTTCATTTTGGATCCAGACTGGGCTGGGGCCATTTTCTTTGCAAGACCCTGCAGCACTGGAAGGAGGGTCGTTTGGCTGATGGTGAAGCCACTGTGGAGGCAGGAATGATGTGTGGAGCACAGAGCAGTGTGTGTCTGTGTCTGTGGGGTGTTACCCTTCACTGCCTGATCACTGTGGGGTGATGGATGACTTGTTGCATCATCAGAGCCTGTGGCATCGCATCACGGACACAATGTCATGTGGTCTGGATCACAGGGTGGAAGTTCTGAAATGGCACAAACCTCAGTGACCACATTTACTCAAATTTTTTTGTAAAACACTGGCTGCATGGGTACTGGCAATCAGTTTAAAGCCCGAAATAGCTGCTGCACTGGGGCATGAGGTGTGCCAGCTGCTAAGACTTGAAGGCAGATGGATGAGGACAAATGCAGCTTGATAGTCCTGGGATAACCGAGGTCCTGCCTTCCAGGGTGAGGCTTTTCAGAAAGGCTTAAAGGCAAGTGCAGGTTCTCTGGATGATTTGCAGTGGGAGCTTCCAGGACTTGGAAGGGACTTTTTACAAGGGTGTGTAGTGATGGGACAAGGAGGAATGGCTTCAGACTGAGAGTAGGTTTAGAATAACTGTTAGAAGAAATTCTTTACTGTGGGAGTGGTGAGATACTGGCACAGGTTGCGCAGAGAAGCTGTGGATGCCTCATCCCTGTAAGTGTTCAAAGCCAGCTCCGGAGCAACCTGGTCTAGAGGAAGGTGTCCCTGCCCAGGGCAGGGAGGTTGGAACTGAATGACCTTTTGGGTCCCTTCCAACCCAAACAATTTGTGTACTTGGCACTGAGAGGGAAGTACTTCCATTGCATTTTCCATAATTGCTGAAGAATTGAATTCATCCACATAGGTTGTTCCCTTCCTCCTGTTGCTGGTTCATCCGGTAAAAAAATTTGAATTATTCCACTTGTCCAAGCCTTTCTCTGCTAATAAGATCTAAAGACCAACCATGTGCAATAGTCTTGCAGTTCTGCTGAAACGTGTAGTGAAGTGTGGTCAGTGAACTACTCATCCTTTGCTGTACAGAGATTTCAGCTGGCTTCTTTGGATGGCACCTTCCAGCAGCTGGAGTCTGATAGAGGCTGGGGCAGCCTCCTGCTTCCTTACACTGAGCTGGCACGAGTTGGGTTCTTCACTGTGAGAGCCCTGAGGTGGGGTGGTGGGAAGTCCTGGAAGCCCTGTTGAGTACAGAAGCAAGAAATTGATATCCAGCAAACTGCTGCTTGCCTGGAGTTGACGAATTTATGCAGCCCTGCCTGGCACCTGCCCTGATCTTTTGGAGGCTTCTGGAGGATTGTGATAAATGGTGCACAGATGAAAAGGTAAGTCACAGAGGAAATAAGTTCTCTGGTCCAGGCTAGAAAAAAAAATTATATACACTGAACAGGACCCAGCCTTATTCTTAAGGGATGATCACTGCCAAAGGTGAAAGTGCAAAGATTCTTTTGCTGTTGAGGAAACAAGCAAAATTTTTTTGCTGTGGGAGTGACCAAGCACTGTCCACTAGTCTCCCACCTTGGAGATACTCAAAAGTTCCCTGGACATGGTCCTGAAGAAACAGCTCTAGGTGCCCCTGCTTGGGCAGGAGGTTGGACCAGGTGACCTCCAGAGGTCCCTGCCGACCTCAACCACTCTCTGATTATGTGAAGATTTAACTACTGTAAGTTGAGTTAAATTCTCATTGACTTGTGTGATTTAAAATGTGCTGGTCTGGAAATGACTCGTGCCTTGTTTGTGCTCCTGTCCAACTCCTTGCTTTGCTGTGTGAATAATCCTGGGTCCCCGAGCCTGAGCTGCCCATCTCCCAGCCTGCTGTGCATGGAATGCTGAGGACAAGGAAAGCAGTGGGGCAGGTGAGCTCAGCAAGGGGAGGATGGATTGCAGACACAAGGTGGATACATGAGCTTTCTTTTTCCTGTTGTTTCTGTGCATAGTGAATTTTGTCACTGCCTGATTAACTCCACGATGGGGAATGCTGGGGGCAGTTCTGCTGTGGGTCTGTGGAGTCTTCTGCACAGTGCTGCTTCCAGCTTCTGTAAAGTGTTGGTGAGAGCACACTGGAGAAGAAAAGAACTGGAAAAGTGTTTTTACTGCTCCCATATGTCTTCAGTAGCTGTACTGCATATGTGGACCAGGGCAGAGCAGCATGGGCTGAAATCAGACTCTGCTGAGCAATTTCTCTCAGCACAGGAGGTAGCAGTGGAAGCTTCAGCCTTTCTCTATTTTGATTTCTTTGAATGGAGAAGTTTCTGTGTCCAGACTTGCACCCTGGCAGTGATCAAGGACAACTTTTGTAGTTGCCCATGTCTCTGGCACAGGTGGGCATAGAACACCCAGCTGGCTGTACCCCAACCTGCAGCACTTCCCTTCGAAGTGTGAGATGGGCAGCAGCCTGAAACAAGAAGGGCAGCCTTTGGCATGGTGCACATTTTTGTGTCTTCACCTTTTTCAAAAAGACATGTATAGTCCTACACCTTTGTTGCTGAAGAATTGGTGCTGCTGCAGATGTCACAGGCTGCTGTGCCAGCGCGGCGCAGGTGGTGACGACGACGTGCCCGGGCTTGCTGGGCTTACCCTGCTAATTAGCACTGCTGAGCCAGAGCCTCTCCAGAAGGAGAAATCAACAGGTTCTGATTAGTCCTTATGTAATCAGGACTGCTCATCTTCAGAGCATTTCGCTAATACTGACTCATCTTCACAGCCTCAGCTGATAAGGTCAAAATTGCTCCTCTTAGACACCTGGGGAAGGGGGGGCAAGAACCTTTGCGCAGATCCTTCAGCTCGCTACTGACATGTGGAAATGTGGCTGAGCTAGTCTGGGTGATGGGTGTTCTCAGCATTCAGCTTTTCCTTAGGTGTCCTGTTTCCCTACTGAAACTTTTCCTTCTTGAAATACAATGAAAACTGAAAGGATATCACCCCCCAAACCCCGGCTTTCTGATGCTTTCCAAAATGAAGTCCAAGTCTCACCTCAGTCAGATGCTGGGTTGTGCAATGAGCTGCACTAACACTGATCCCTAGACACTCTAAGGCACTAAAAGCTTTTTAGATTTTTTCCAATATCCATCTCTTTAATTGGCTAAACCTGACCAGCAGGTCCCATCTCCAAGATGAGAAGTTATTTTCCTAGCAGGAACCTGGCCAGATCTGAACTATGATTCTGTGACAGGGTTTCCTCAGTCTGGGGAGGTTTCCTGGAGTCTGGACTCCACATGGGTGACATGAGGTGTTGCGTGGCACGAGGGGTGGGTGGTGGGTCAGGGTGTGAGATGGCCACTCTTGGCAGAGATATTGCAGAGACTGTGTCTTAGTGCATCCACGATTAAGATAACATACTGAACACAAAAACAATTGCCTGGCAGCTGATTCCCATTTCTAGCAACAGGTGATTGTATTCTGCCAGTGAGGGGGTGGGTTGAACGTTTTGCAGGATGTTCTGCAGTCAGTGTAACCAGCCTCCCCAGCAGGTCTGGGAGGCAGCACATGGTGTACTGAGGCACTGGGAATGGGTTAATCACCAGCAGAAATCAGTACTTTGCCAACTGGTCTGAGGTGGGCTTCATTGAGCAAAGTGGATTTCACATAGACACTCTCCCTTGAGTCATAAGGATGGTTTCTCACTGGGAGGTCTGTTGCTGCTCTGAAGAGGCCCACGAGATGTGCTCATTATTCCCAGCAGCAAGCCAAAAAATTATCTGTGGGAAGGAGCAAGACCCATGGTTGTTACATATCTACGTAAGTATCTCGTACTGAGGTAGGTGAAAAATCCATGAGCTTTTTTAGGCAAGGTGGCATTTTGAAAGCCCTGAGATAAGGATTTTCTGCACTGGGTTTTACACTGCTTTGCAAATACTACAGGCTCCTCCAGAAGCTGAAGGGTGACCCTTCCAGAGGACGTGGAGCAACTCCTTGGCTGCTGCTCCCTTAATTGTTATTTGCGGGGTGTTGTACCTGCCACAGTGGGTACTTCTGAGCAGAATGCTAATCCTGCTAAGCCTCTGACAAGGAATATTCCTGTTCACATTAGAGAGGTCACTCCCAAAGATTTACCTTCAGGAGTCACACCCTTTCAACCCCCTGGCTCTGGCCTAGAGCAAATTGTCTGCCCCAGCATCATGTGCCTGAAAGGCTGCCAGTGGCCAAAGGCTCCTCAGGCTGCTCTTTCCTCTCTTTCCTTGGCAGCCTTTCCATCTTTGGCAAGGAATTAAGGGGGTTTG